TCATGCTATTGTGATTAAATGATATCTAGGACAGGTTAGGAGCTACCTGGTAAAGACCATACTGACAAACTCTTTTTTTGATGGCCCTTTTATTTCATATTTGAATGCTTAAGTTGTAAGCTTTTCAGGGGAATATTGTTTGTATCATTTAAATGCACTGCTTCCTTTCAGTCTAACGGATACATCCCCTGGGCTTTCATAGAAGCCAACTTTGTGCCAAGTCTTCAACTTCATACATTTCCTTTCAGCTAAGCCTCTGTTAACATCATTTCCAGGAAGACACTAACTTGACTGCCTTATAATGGTTCTTCATTCACTCACCTTTGTTTTAACTCTGGAGTGATTATTTGTTTCTTTTCTTTTTTTTTTTTTCTGAAATACATTTACTGTCTTCAAATGACAGGGCATTAGATCATCAGTGAGTACTCATAATGTTCCTTCATTTTATTGTTCTAATTTAATGGGAGTACTTTTTTTTTGTCATGCAGAGGCAAATAATATGAGAAATTTCATCCCCATTAATGTATTCAAGTCAAACAACCTACAGAACAGCAAGTCACTATCCAGCTTCCCAGATCTATATGTTCCAGTTTGCAGAAGAGAGACATCAGAAAGTAAAGCATTTTTCTTGCTACCAGATGTGCTAATGCTACCAGTTTCTGCAGTAGAGCTTTAATATCTACTCTTTTGATTTGCATTTTGCAGAGGAAAAGTGAAAAGTAGCATGCATAACTTTCCACAAGCTCATGATTCTTGAAACAAGAAAAGTTTCATATACTCTTCTCCCATTCGATTCTATGAGAAATAATTACTGTAAGACAACTGCATATTTCTCATCTTATACTGATCATTTGTAGTGCTAATTTCATCAAAGAATCTCCAGGAGGTCAAAAACAAACATACTTTCAACTTTCTCCTCATTTCTAAGGGAAAAGGTTTAATTTTATAAATATGGACAAAATCATAAAATTCAGAAATAATAATGTGTTCCCAGCCTAAATCTCACCTAGAAATGAGATCTAAGCAACCATCCTAAATTCCAAACAATCATCCCACCTGCTTGTTTTCCAGGAATGCTTAGCACTGCAGACCACTAAATTCACTAGACATTCCGTATGTAGCATGAAACTCCTGAAATTAAGCACTCTGGTTGCCCCAATATGCTCAGAAGTGTCACTTCTGGAGATATTACTACATATTATTGGCTTGGATCCCACTATAGTCCTAGCTTAGTGGCTATAAACTAGGATGGATAGAGGGGATAAACAAGGATAGATGAGGGGACAGCGGTGGATGTCGTCTATCTCGACTTCACCAAGGCCTTTGACACCGTCCCTCACAACATCCTCCTGGGCAAGCTCCAGAAGTGTGGGATAGATGAGCGGACAGTGAGGTGGATTAGGAACTGGTTGGACGGCAGAGCTCAGAGGGTGGTGATCAGCGGTGCAAAGTCTAGCTGGAGGCCTGTAGCTTGCGGTGTCCCCCAGGGGTCAGTCCTTGGTCCAGTCCTATTCAATTTAGTCATCAATGACCTGGATGAAGGCACAGAGTGCTCTACGAATTGGCAGGAGTAGCTGATACCCCAGAGGGCTGCGCTGACATCCAGAGGGACCTGGACAGACTGGAGAACTGGGCAGTGAAAAACATCATGAAATTCAACAAGGCCAAGTGCAAGGTCCTACACTTAGGGAAGAATAACCCCAGACACCAGTACAGGCTGGAGACCGATCTTCCGGAGGGCAGTTCTGCAGAGAAAGACCTGGGCGTCATGGTGGACGACAAGTTGACCATGAGGCAGCAGTGTGCCCTCGTGGCCAAGAAAGCCAACAGGATCCTGGGGTGCATTAAGAAGAGCATCTCCAGCAGGTCGAGGGAGGTGATCCTGCCCCTCTACTCAGCCCTGGTGAGGCCACATCTGGAGTATTGTGTCCACTTATGGGCTCCACAGTGCAAGACAGATGTGGAGCTGCTGGAGAGAGTCCAGCGCAGGGCTACGAGGATGATCAGGGGCCTGGAACATCTGCCCTATGAGGAAAGACTGAGAGAGCTGGGCCTGTTCAGCCTGGAGAGGAGAAGGCTGAGAGGAGACCTGATCAGTGTCTATAAGTACCTCAGGGGAGGCAGTGAGGAGGAGGGTGCTGGCCTCTTTTTATTGGTGGCCACTGTCAGAACTAGAGAAAATGGCCAGAAACTAAAGCATCAAAAGTTCCACAGGAACTTAAGGAAAAAATTCTTAACGGTGAAGTGAGGGTGACAGAGCACTGGAACAGGTTGCCAAGAGAGGTTGTGGAGTTTCCTTCTCTGGAGATCTTCAAAACCCACTTGAACACAGTCCTGTGCCACGCAGGTGACCCTGCGTGTGCAGGGGGTTGGACTAGATGACTTCCCAACCTTAAGCATTCTATGATTCTATGACTATAGCCCTAGACTAGATTTGACTAGGCTAGAGATTGGAACTCTTCATAGGTCTAGTGAAACTGGACAAATCAGTTATGGTCAGGATCACAACAGTGGTCTGTTGTGTTTTAGTCATCAGACAGAGTATGCATCTCTCAAAAGAAAGAGTTGTATCTAGCTAATATGCATAAGCCAAAGATCATATGACTGATGATAAGGATATATCAGCAGCAAAAATACTCGGGAAAATGTGGGCTCACATGTGTGCTTCTGTAATAAAATGATCTACAGAAAAGGTCAGCAAAAGTCCCATTATTGTCCAGGACAAGAAGATAATTTCTATTCATCCTTAGGAATAGGAACCAAGGCTCTATAAAATGGTTTAATTGTGAGTTCAGAAGAAAATTTGGAGGCACTAGCCTCTAACTTTGGATAAATAAAACTTGTATCAATTGACACACAGACAGAGAGGAAGGATTATCACTAAGAACAGAAACACCGAGCAAATCTTTGGATGGAGAACAGAAGATACTGGACCCTCTGAAATCTCCAAAGAACATCTCAAGGTTCACAGATGACAGATGTAGAAGCCTACAGCCTGTGAAACTGAAGTCTGTATCAGCATCTGATATATTGACAATTCTTAGATATCTTTGCACTTAATCTTCACAGTGTAAGAAATATATATGATGCAATTGCACTAGTAGTAGAAATCTATATGCTCGTATATAACATACTCGAGCATCAAGCCCCCATGACCCTCTCATTACGTTTGACCACTGAAAATGTATTCTCCTACCTTGTTGATGTGCCAGGAATGGGACGTCCTGTATCCACAAGAACACACCAACAGTAGCCTGTGGAAGGATGACACTGCACAGGTTTGTAAAGGCCACCCTGAGCACATTCTGGAATGAACACGTTGTCTTTCTGGGGTTGTTTGGCTTCCTCCAGTGCTGACTGAAGTTCTTGATCACACGATGATGCTTTTGGAAGGAAAAGAAAAATATCGTAGAAGCTGTATGTTAAGAAAGCACTGTTTTTTCAAGCAATTGCTATCTTTCTTTGTGATTGAACATAAGGATTGTATTTGAAGAGGCTCACCGCAGCTCAAATATGAACTGCATTCATTTATGTTGTATACTGTTAGAATCCTTAGTTTCCTTCTGGTTTATCATTTCGTAAAACACTTGACACTCCTTCTCTCATATTAGAGGTGAATACTTTGAAATGCAAAATACTTTACCTGTCATTTAAAAAAAAAAAATCTCCCACTCCACAGTCTCTAAAAAGACTGGTGCTTTCTAGACAGCAAAAGTCAAAATCTAACTTGTATTTATGATAGACTGGTTTTCAAAAGAGTTTATTTTGTTATAGTGAACATAAAATATTAGAAAATATGCATTTCACTTGCTAACTTGGTTACAAGAAACTGATTTTTTTTAATTCCTTGGTTGATAATTTTATGCCTCTCTGTTGCATAAGGAGAGAGAGCTTGAAGGATTAATTCTGCATGGTTTTCTCTTTTCTACACACTGACATAATCAGAGATGAAAAAGTTTCAAAGCACCAATGTTTAGACAATACACTGTAATTACAGAACCACTGTAGTGAGGGTAGAAAGGTTTCCTTAAAAAAAAAATTGACTAATTAAAGCCTTCAAAGAAATAACTATGGTTTCATGAAGTACAAATCCATCACAAATATCACCTTAGAGTAGCCAAAACAAATCTTTCCCTCAGTGAATCTGGATTATCTGGATTATGATAATTACGGCCTTGCAATGTATTACTACTCTGGAAAAAAAACAACAACTAATTTGGTTGCTCACTTTTTATATTTTGTATATAATCAAAGAAAAAAGAACGGAGAGGAGGAAGGAGTTTACTCCTCATTAAATCCAAATTCTTTTCTCATTCAAATTGATAAACCTTGGGATCATCTCATTAGCTACTGTAACCGTCTCTTATTATATCCTTGTAACTAGCAACAGCATCTGGCAGATGTGTAAGTATTACTATCTCTTGCTAAACCAGAAGAATGATTTTTATGTTCTCTGCCTTGTTTAGAACAGTTAGTTTATGGAGACTACAGAGTAAGGTCATCCAGATAGAAAAAATGTTAACAGCAAGCAGGGAATGAGTATGATAGAGAAAACCCAATGTAGAAGCAGATATGGATTATTTCAGCTGTGAGCCTAAACTATAGTGACCAATCTTGGGGCTGCTTCTGTTAATTGAAATAACCTGCAAACATTGCTGACTCAGAAACACTGGAGTTGTAAGCCACTGGGGGAGGCCCTGCATAACATCAGGTGCTGCAGATGGTCTGCATTTTCATTCATGAACAGTCATTTCTAAGGTTTTCAACTAGCTACTGCACAAGCCAGAATTTGACCCTTGAATCATAAGCTAGAATACTGTGCTCCTTTTTTTCCCTCATGTCTAGTTTTAAGTTTTAAAAAGAGATTTCATTGGAGGCTTGCAGATGTGGATAATGACATCAGAAGGCACAATCGGACTGAGAAAGAATACAGCTTAAGTTTGCAAGTGAGATAGATAGACAGGAAACAGGTCAGCAATAGAAACAAGAAAGAAGGTTTAAAAGGAATGTTCTTAGGAGAACACTATTATTACTTCCCTGTTTGTCTTCTTCACCAAAATGCTATTCCCTTAAAGAAAACCCCAGAATCCTGCCTCATTTTTCCAGGACCAGAATATTAGTCTTCAGTGTAATTTCCTCTCTAAAGGAACCACTCATTCTCTTTTAAACTTTTCCTTCAATTATTTACAACAGGAGATCTTGGAAGATTTAATTCTAGCGTTGTAATGTATAGGAGCCCTTATCACAGAGATACCACACTGTTGCAAATATTTGCCTTTGTAATGTCAGAAGAATTGTGGTCAGCAAACATTTATTTACTAGGTGAACCAGTTGTAGATAACATTAACTTATAAAATGCCTAACAGTTTGTTCAAATAATCAGACAACAACTACAATTTGAAGTCTTAACAGTTGCATGACAGAAATTCTTAAATGAACAGTATGAAAAAAAAAAACTATACCACAATAAAAGTGGAATAAATCATTAGAATATATCAAACATTTTATGGAAAATGTTGCTACAATAACATTCCTTCCAGGAAGAAAAGAACACTGATATCCTAGCTTATTTTCAAGAAATATGCTTACATTATTGTCCTTTCACTTTGGTCAATTACTTCTGCACTGATGGGGAAAAGGGGTAGTTTTCCAAGAGTGTTAATTCCATAAAATAGTTAGACATTGCTGAAAAATCCTTTCAAGAACAAGTCTGCCTTGTTAACCAGCTAAAAGGTAGCATAGTTAGGATTTCTAGTTACAGTTTCTATCATTCACAGTTTACTACAGTTTATTTCATTCTTGTCTGCATTAGTGATTTAACAAACAAATTTCAAGCACCCAAGAGAATATATATATATATATATATATATATATATATATTTTGCCCAGTTGTGCAACAAGAGCCTTTTGAAACAAGACCTTCTAAATGATGAAGTAAAAATCTTCCTCAACACTAAGAAAGAGTCTAAATACTTGCTTTCAAAATAATCTCTGTTATTTTTTCTGGTGTCTTATTCCTATTTTATTGCTTCTCTTTTTCCTGTAAGCAAGCATTACTAAATATACTGTTTTTGTTCTTGTTCAAGTTGTCTTCAAAAGTCGGTTAGGAATAACCAGTAGAAGTTCTTCATCTTCTCTCAACAGCAAAGATAGTGCAGCTAATGCAAACTCTGTGCATGTTTCACGTTTAGTATAAAATTTTGAATCAGATCTTGTTGCTAATGCTCAATTATTCCTAAAAAAAAAGCTAGTCTGCATTCCAATGACTGTAGTTAATTTACATTAAAAGAAAAATATTGCAATGGTAGAATGGTCTAAAAATGAAAATCTTTATGAAATAATTTATTTATCAATTTCTGATACAATACTTACGAAGGTTAATTAATGTTTACCAAGTGATGCTGAATGGAAAGAAAGTGGCTTTCTTGGAAAACTCATCCTGAACAAACTGCTTACTGATGAATTTATCTGTAGTATATCTAAAATATGATCACCACATTACATTAATTATAATAACCTACATGTTAGTTTTGTAATAGGAGATATTCTAGCCCCTCTTTTCAGAAATTCTTGAAATTAATGTGCTGTGTCTCATCACAGTTTCTCCCAACATGTGGAATTTTCATGGTTACAAATAATTTTGATTTTTTGTAATGTGCATGGCTGTACTTATGTCTAAATTTTGGTGTATTCTACAGAAACCAGTTGCCAAATCTGCAGAAAATTAAAAAGGCATCTGTATGCTACTTTAACATTTCCTGCCATTATATAAACATTTCCTTTCAATTTCCTCAGCCTCCACAATGTATATAAGATAAACAGAATCCATTCCTAGAAATTTTATTTTCAGTTGATTTCTTCTCCCTCCTTTTCTCATTATCATAATGGGCCATGAAAGCATAATTTAGACAGTCTGGTTTCCAGGGTAAAGAGATCTTTTATTGGGCCTTGATGCTCAACATCCTCTATAGAAAGCAAATAACAAGCCTGTGAACAAAAATACCCTGAAAAGTGATACACATGATATAGAGGAGTAAACTGTAGCATTAATTTTGCAGCTTTCCCATGTTTCTTGGAGGATATATTTATATCAATAGAATGTATTTCTTTTCAAAATAGTATATACAGGAACTTACCAAAGTCTATTATATTTTCTGCTGACAAAATGATTAGCTAATTAAGTTAACTAAGCTCAGTTTACATGCTTTCAAAATACTTCAAACACTGATTTTTGTAAGTTCTGTGCTAGTTATTTCAAATTCTAAGTAATTAGTATCTTATCGACAACCATTCCACAAATTCACTTCTCACTGTTAAAAGAATTTGATCCATTTGCTTAGGATGAACCCTTGCTGAACCAGGGAAGTTAATAGGCCCCAAGGAAACAATGTGTTTTTATATTTTATATCTAACAGCTTTCATGGTATTCAGATTTTATCTACTGGTTTTCCACTTACACTACACCAAATTGTATTTCTACATATGACCAGGACATTCACTTTAGAAGCTCACTGGATGGCAGATCTGGAAAATGAAATGAGTCCATTGCAGCAGTCGCCCTGTTTCTAACACCTATTCATTCTCGGAGTAAATTAGAAGGTTCTTTCTCTATTGCTGACCAATTTGCATTATCTAGAACCTCTGACATCTGGCTCTGCTATAAAGACAGCAACTAAGCAAGTATGTTAGCTGACATAATTGACAAAAACTACATAATGAATTTCATTCTACTGAAGGAGAAGTGTAACTTAGCAGCTTCACATTCTTTTAGAGTCTCCAGCTTGTTTTTAGACATTCTGCAGCATTGCAGACTTCTTTAAGGATGGAAGCAAGGCTATATAACAATGTTTATGCCAATTTCGAACACTACATTCCCTTGAAGACAGTTAGGTCCCTTATGGCCCATGTATGAGCATCTCATATTATTCTCTCTTAAATTAAAAGCTCTGCTTCTACAAGAATTTACCTGCCTCCCTTTCTTAAGTACTTCATGTAAGTTCATCTGCCATGAAAATCAAGTGAAGCTTCATGTTAGAAACAAGCACAGAAACAGCTTTGCTCATGCTTGTAGCTGCTTTCAGAGACCATTCAATAAATCTAATCCAAATGGCCAGTAATGGGTACAATCCTTTTTCTAAAAGACCTCAGTGGAAAAATGCTCTCTAGATTCAATGGACAATAAATCAATTGAATTTATTTAATGGATTTGATGGATTCAATAGGTTTATTCCTCAACTGAATATATTCACATCACATACATTTGCAATTAAGTCAAATATTTGCTCATGATTTAAAGGAATAGGTAACATTAATAAACACTCAAATTCAGAGCCAACATCTAGAAAGCAACCAAAACCTAAGTCTAAATTACAGGATTAATACT